ATAAACCCGAAGGAAAATATAATACAAGCCCAAACGAAAAAATATAAACAAATCTAAATTGAAAACAACGTTCAAACCTATGATTGCGTTGGATAAAAACCGTAATTTTTATACGTGTGCATGCAAAACAAATTTCTTGGTAGAGGGGTCTAAATACAGCACAAACAACATTATTTAAAAGACCAAAAAAGTGACAAAGTATATTTTAACAAAAAGCATTTGACTAACAGGTCGAACAACGGATGTCCTTAAACCCTGCTGACTGCCATTGATGATTGCCAAATAAACAGATCACCAGATGTAAAAATGGATCTTAATTAATAATTTAATACCAAACAGAAAACAATAAACTTACGCAAAAGATGGTATACCGCAAACATGAGGTGCAACAAGCCCCCTCCAAAAAAAAAATATTAACAAGTCTAAATTGAAAACAACGTTCAAACCTTTGAGTGCGTTGGATAAAAACCGTAATTTTTATACGTTTGCATGCAAAACAAATTTCTTGGTAGAGGGGTCTAAATACAGCACAAACAACATTATCCAAAAGACCAAAAAAGTGACAAAGTATATTTTAACAAAACACATTTGACTAACAGGTCGAACAACGGATGTATTTAAACCCTGCTGACTGCCATTGACCATTGCCAAATAAACGGATCACCAGATGTAAAAATGGATCTTAATTAATAATTTAATACCAAACAGAAAACAATCAACTTACGCAAAAGATGGTATACCGCAAATATGAGGTGCAAATATTTGTACACCATATCCGGATTTCGACAATTAATGTCTCTTCAGTGATGTAAGGGATCAAAACGATATTTGGAAGGCCATATAATTTACCTCAATTAAGGATAGACTCTTGAATTGTGAAGAGTCGAAATAGGATGAACGGATCATATAAACCCGAAGGAAAATATAATACAAGCCCAAACGAAAAAATATAAACAAGTCTAAATTGAAAACAACGTTCAAACCTATGATTGCGTTGGATAAAAACCGTAATTTTTATACGTGTGCATGCAAAACAAATTTCTTGGTAGAGGGGTCTAAATACAGGACAAACAACATTATCCAAAAGACCAAAAAAGTGACAAAGTATATTTTAACAAAACGCATTTGACTAACAGGTCGAACAACGGATGTTCTTAAACCCTACTGACTGCCATTGACCATTGCCAAATAAACGGATCCCCAGATGTAAAAATGGATCTTAATTAATAATTTAATACCAAACAGAAAACAATAAACTTACGCAAAAGATGGTATACCGCAAAAATGAGGTGCATACACCATATCCGGATTTAGACAATTAATGTCTCTTCAGTGATGTTAGGGATGAAAACGATATTTGGAAGGCCACACAATTTTCCTCAATTTATGATAGACTCTTGAATTTTGAAGAGTCGAAATAGGATGAACGGATCATATAAACCCGAAGGAAAATATAATACAAGCCCAAACGAAAAAATATAAACAAGTCTAAATTGAAAACAACGTTCAAACCTATGATTGCGTTGGATAAAAACCGTAATTTTTATACGTGTGCATGCAAAACAAATTTCTTGGTAGAGGGGTCTAAATACAGCACAAACAACATTATTTAAAAGACCAAAAAAGTGACAAAGTATATTTTAACAAAACGCATTTGACTAACAGGTCGAACAACGGATGTTCTTAAAGCCTGTTGTCTGCCATTGACGATTGCCAAATAAACAGATCACAAGATGTAAAAATGGATCTTAATTAATAATTTAATACCAAACAGAAAACAATAAACTTACGCAAAAGATGGTATACCGCAAACATGAGGTGCATACACCATATCCGGATTTCGACAATTAATGTCTCTTCAGTGATGTTAGGGATCAAAACGATATTTGGAAGGCCATATAATTTACCTCAATTTAGGATAGACTCTTGAATTGTGAAGAGTCGAAATAGGATGAACGGATCATAAAAACCCGAAGGAAAATATAATACAAGCCCAAACGAAAAAATATAAACAAATCTAAATTGAAAACAACGTTCAAACCTATGATTGCGTTGGATAAAAACCGTAATTTTTATACGTGTGCATGCAAAACAAATTTCTTGGTAGAGGGGTCTAAATACAGCACAAACAACATTATTTAAAAGACCAAAAAAGTGACAAAGTATATTTTAACAAAACGCATTTGACTAACAGGTCGAACAACGGATGTCCTTAAACCCTGCTGACTGCCATTGATGATTGCCAAATAAACGGATCACCAGATGTAACAAAATGGATCTTTATATATCGGGCTTTCGAATCGGTTTTAGTCAAGTCTGCTATATATTCCATTATTTGTGTTGTTTAATAAAAAGGAGACACAAGTTTTCAATATGCTTTTGCTTTTGTACTGATTGACCTATTAACATAAAAAAGAGCTGCATATACTACCGTGTGCATGCTGACATTTATGCATCAAGACTATTTTTATAGTTCCAACATTATTTTGGGTTTAAATAATCATTAATGAATTTCATCATTTTTCATTGAATCATGGACCGGGTGTTAACCATACAGTACTTATGTCTCTTTTGTTCTTTATGGCATGTTAACAAAACTTTCCCACAAATATCTTTATATGTTGTCATATATTATTGCATAGCTAAATATTAAATATAAATATTTCTGTCGATAATTTCCGTAGATGAAGATATCTTTTTTCATTTTCTTACATTTTGGAAGCGGGGGTATAAATCACTAATCTCTGGCAATCAAGCATAAATATGACAAGCTGAATTTGTGCAACATTCCCAGAGCATGATTCCATAGAATTTTGTTTTCAGTTATCTCGAGGGACTACCGAGAAATTGTCCAAAATGTCCAAAAATTGTGATTTTTTTTTAAATCCCCCTTTTGATCTTTGATCCCCGTTTTCAAAAATCTGCACCACTTTGGAATTTTACGACATGCCTTAGTCAAAGGGTATTATATCTATCTTTAAAAAAATACCAAAATAAGCCGTTTCGGTCCATTACATTTTTAAATTTACCTTACTTGTCATCGTACTAAAAGCCGTATATTGGCCTATAGCTGCTTACATCCACGTCTTTTAGACTCTGTTGAGTACTTGTTTCTTTTGAAATCATACCACATATAGTAATTCTTATATACCATACAGAACCAACAACATCAAAAATAAATATCAGAAATCGGAAATAAGAAAACACTACTCGGACTAGACAAAATAAGGACAATTACTTCAATCCAAAGATTTCAATCCAGAACGATATCCGTCGTATTATCCTATCGTAATGGAGAATAATTCTCCAAACAAAAGCTTTAAATCAGAAAAAAAGTAGGAGGACACTAAAGGAAAACAAACAAATGAACAGCACATTGGCCAAAAGAAATAAATCATACCACCAATAGTCCACCAAACAACAGAATGCTAAATTTTAATCAACACGAATGCCTATGTTAGTAGAGGAATTATATTTTCATGTCTGTTTGTCCGTTCGTCCGTCATGTTTCAAGTTGAAATAGTGGTTTATGGTAGGTTAAAGTTTTATTTTTATGTAGTTTTATGATCAATTTTATTAAAGACTTAGTAACTATGATCTCTATGATGTGAACTTTTGACAATATTTGCGAAATAAGTATTTTTACCCAGATTTCGCAATTCACTGAACATGGAAAAAGTAAAATAACAAAATTACCGAACTCCAAGAAAAATTCCAAACGGAAAGTCCCTTATCAAATGGCAAACTCAAAAGCTCAAACACATCAAACGAATGGAAAACAACTGTCATGTTCCTGACCTGTTACAGGCATTTCCTTATGTAGAAAATGGCGGATTAAACCTGGTTGTTGTATAGCTAGCTAAACCTCTCACTTGAATGACAGTCGCGTAAAATTCCTTTAAATTGAACAATGTGTGAGCAAAACAAACATACATAATAGGTAAAAATGTGTAATAATGCGAGTGGGACTTGGTGTCCTATCGTCACATACTTTTGTTTAGTGTGATATATAATTATTGAGAGAATATTATACATGTCTCGTTTAAAATGAATTTTGTATGTTTGATGAATATTACAGAAAATTCGCTACTATAGACAAATGGCCTTTTTATAGAGCTGTGAGTGGGTTTGTATGAAAAAAAAAAATTTTTTCATACGCATTTTATCTATACTTTTGTTTTGATATAAAAAAAATAAGAAGATGTGGTATGATTGCCAATGAGACAACTCTCCACAAGAGACCAAATGACACAGAAATTAACAACCATAGGTCACCGTACGGCCTTTAATAATGAGTAAAACCCATACCGTATAGTCACCTATAAAAGGCCCCGAAATTACAAATGTAAAACAATTTAAACGAGAAATCTAACCACCTAGTTTATGTACCAAATATGATATACAGCAACAAACGACAACCACTGAATTACAGGCTCCTGACTTGGGACAGGCACATAAACACCATTATTAAAAACCTGGATCTGCAACCGAATTTTGAAATTATTTTATTCAAAACCTAAATTCTTTATCATCGACTTATTTTGGTCTTTTGATTTTGAAATATGGAAAATCGAAACGAAAAAATATCTTATACTATTGAAATCTTAAATCAGAATAATCGAAAATTATAAAATATGAACTGCATGTTTAAATTAGAATCTCGGTGATGCGTCAGTAAATATTAGGACAAAACTACTTATCCATGCAGGTTTCTATTTCAATGTTTTTCTATCAAACGTTTACTTTTAAATAAATAAACAGCTGAAGATAAAATGTCGAACTGGTACATGTGATCTTCTGCTTAATATTAAACACTTGTATTATAACGGGTATGGCATGCAAATATGATATTAATTGCGATTTTTTGGAGGTAAAGTGCAACTTCAATCTTATATCTAAGTGACATACGTTCTAATTTGTCTTTCATGGTTGTCTCCATATGTAGTTTTGTTTTGTTGCTTTTAATTTGCGTCTTAAACAATTAACTGTTAACTAAGTACTGAGTTGAAACACAATTTTATTTAAAATTTATTGTATTAAATAACAATGACAGAAATCAAAGACATCTTATACAAGTGAAACCAAAGAAAAAAGAATATTAACAAATGTCGAATCAGAATATTACTCTAAAACAGAATGTCTATCAAAGTCCCATTATAAATTCTTCTCTTTACATCCCAGTTTCACCTTGTTCGGTTTCACCTTTCTGCATGTCCTGGAATTGGTCAGTGTTCTCATGGTCATTCATCTGTGCTGACATTTCAGATTGTCTGAAGATGAAATATGATATATAAGAAAATGAAGGAATGGATATAGATTCAAAAAATAATTACGTGTATGATGTCCAAGTTTATTGTCAGATTCTTTTACCCTAGTCAAGAATATTGTCACCCTTTTCGTGATAGATTTTACTGGTATTGTGTAATGACTTTGATACATTACGATGAACTTAAATTAAAATGATTTCTATATAGAAGGCAGCCAAAACTACTTAATTAATAAATGTTATAATTGCAACCTACCCTTCATTTTCAGAGGAGAATTTCATGGTATGCTCACTGGCACAACGGAGACATCTGCAGTAGCAGAACCATCCATATCTGACTGACACATAATATCTACAGCGTCTTGCTCTACAACGGGATTTACATCTGGAAGCACAACTTGCATCTGCGTCTTGGACTAAAACAAAATACAATGTTTTACACATGTAAGGATACAATAAAAAATCAATAAAGCGTGATATATTTGATATTTTTAGGTTATTTGTTTACATTCACTAGGTTGTTGCTTCATGTATAACAACCTCATATCGTTCTTTTCATTTCAATTCAGAATGGACTTTTTTAATAGTATTAATAAGGAATTGATATGAACAACAAAACAAAAACAATTAACATGAAGAGGGATATATATACAAAACAATTGGAAAAGAAATTTAAAATATATAGAGATATCCTAATGTCATATTTGATAAAATTAACTTATAAGCGTAATATACCGATCAAAAAATGTGGTATGATTATTAGCAGGTATTGTCAATGTTGAGATAATAACACCACTCTTAACGCAATGAAAAAAATTCAGCCATAATCTTAATACTATTTAGTATTATAATTTTTTTCGTAAAAATACTCCTTCGCAATTAGCTTTATTTCGACACAGAATTCAAAAAAGTTATTTCAGGAAAAGCGTTCTATTGCCTGATAGTCAGTACACTTGTTGAATATAAGTATTAGCTTTTCCACGTGAGTAGACGTAGCGTAGTGCAATTGTTTCAGAGTCCATTATGATAGGAATCATTAAATCAATCCGAAGTGTAAAAAAATGAAATAATAATGTAATGCATTGACTTTATTTGTTTACTGGTTTGGTTAATTTGAAATTGTAATAATAAGAAAATGATTGTGCTGAGCATTGACTATGCGAGAAAACAGCTTCGTTTGAAGACATAATGCACTCCTTTTGGGCGTTCACTTTGTCTTCAAACTTAGGTAATATTTTCGCATAGTGAAGGCTAAACACACCATTATTTAATAAATAGGTACCAATAGTATTTTTTAATAAATAGCTAAAGTTAACATATAATAATTTATTTCAAAACTTTATTTCATCCTGTACTACAACACATCCCTACCGTCTAATATATTTTCTTTCATAGTTGTAAAAGGTTAGGGACCTTAAAATTATTTTGGTTTTTATAGCTATGAGTAGTTTATTGTTTTAATTGACATGTATTTGATTGTTTCTATAAAAAATACCTCCAAAAAATCTTAAAGTCCATGTAATAAAAACCTTATCCATATATTGATGTGCTAAAATATGGCTTACATGTTTTCATTGCAACACTCTTAGGCAAAAAGAATTTTAATTTGAACCCAACGACATGACTATTTTCAAGATAAAATTAGTACCACCATCAGATGTCCTTCTCTGATATTTCTATAAATAAAATTTACATTTGCTTATATCCAGCAAACTGCAGTTTTGAACCTTGCATCTGTAATCATCTGCTCTTTAATTAAACAATCAGAAACGTGGAGCTACTATGCATGGAGAGATTTGGTAAACATGGTTATGACTCTTAAAATGACATTGCTCGTAGAATATATATATTATGTTTGTTATGTTTGTTTTCTCGTTTGAATTGTTTTATATTTCGTCATCTATGTCAGATCATTTTATAGCTTACTATACGGTATGGGATTTGCTAATTGTTGAGGGCAATACGGTGACCTTAATTTCTTAAATCTACTTCATTAGTCTCTGCATGGCTGTTAGATGTCTCATTGGGAATCATTCCACTTCTTCGTATTTTTGAGAAATATCCCTCTGCTTTTCAAATATTTATCTGTCTTTAAATTGTTGTAATACAATTATGTACATACCTATAAGAAGTACTGCAAGACCAATAGCCAGGATAACTGCTAACTTCATATTGGATCTAAAGGGTTGTAGATATTAATCTGAAATTTAAAAGTTTTTACATAATCATAGGCCCACAAACACACATTATAGCATCGCTGAAAATATTAACATTTGAGACGAGTTTTAGCTTATTTGTAATTAAATTAATAGATATAGCAAGCGAGCTTTTAAATATTACTTGTACAAAATACTTTACTATTACAAAGTTACATACCTAAGGTGAACAATTCAGCTAGTCAGCAGGATCATAACGTCAATGACAAATGAACGGTTTTTATACACATAGATCCAGAAATGACAATTCCGGCGGACGGGAGATGGTGTTACGAATTTGCGTATTTCCTTTATTGTCAAACTTTTTAAAAATCACTGTCAATTCGTTTTGTTTCAGATTTCGCAATTCACTTCATATAAAATATTAATTGCATATTATGAATCTAGGTGATACGTCAGTAAATATTAAGACAAAACTACTTATCCATGCAGGTTTCAATGTTTTTCAATCAAAATTTTATTTGTGAAATAAATAAACAGCTGAAGATAAAAAGACGAAATTTTACAGGTGATCTTCTACTTAATATAAAACACTTGTATTATAACGTGTATGACATGCAAATATGATCTTATTTGCGGATTTTGGAGGAAATGTGTGCGACTTCAAGTTTATATTCATGTGTCCTATGATCGAATATGTCTTTCCTGGTTGTCTTAATATGAAGACATGTTTTGTTACCAATGATTTTGAAACTGTCGTGTTTTGTCCATATGTAATTGGTGTAGTTGTTAATTTTTTGTCTACTTGATTCTATTTCAAATAACGACGTCATAGCAATATTATGTACGACTCGGAGGTGCGATGGGGACGCTGAAGTGCGATGGTCACGCTGAAGTGCGATGTTCTGCGCTGAAGTGCGATGGTTCGTTCGCTGATGTGCGATGGTCTATATTACGCGTGATTGCTAGTTTTATATCTACAGATTTTCATTTATAAGGCCTATGAGAAGTAGATTTTTTTAATAGTTAGTATATAAATTTGCATTCGTTATTGTCTTTGTGTGTCCTATAGTTACAGTTGCATACTAAGTGAGAGATCGTCCTCTTTGGTTTTCAGGATGGGAACATAATTCTGCGTTAACATTTTATCTTTACTTGGTTCCTCTCATGAGTTCCTAGTTTACATAATATTATAATACGGAGAGTTTGTCTGCGGACCCGTATGTATTAAGAGAATGCCACGCTCCATCGAAAATAAAAAAAAAAAACTTTTGTAGATTTCGAAAAAAAAAATCCGCTACATAAGGTTTACTTTCCATCTCCACCAATCAATATTCGTTTCCCGTAGTATTAAAAAGTTTATAAGCCCCTTATTAACTTAAAAACCAGAAAAAACTGATTCTAACAAACGAATTGACTTCAACATCGACATGCAAAGCATTGAAAGTATAGTTTATGTAGTGCATTGCACTTCAGCGATACCACCATCACACTTCAGCGTTACCACTATCATACTTCGGCGTAGCTATCAACAAGATAGCGTCACAATGCCACCATCGCACTTCAGCCTGATCAGCGGTTCGGAGTACCTTCGCGGTTCAGAGTCCTGCATATATATAAAACTAGGGACTAAAGGTGTAAACAAATCAGAGATTTCTGGCACCTAAGACAATTTACTTATTATATAAACCACGATATTATGAACTGTACTCGAAAAGTAGTACCCATTTTAAATATCTGAAAAAGAACTCTACCAGAGAAAAAATGAATCATGTATGGAGGAAGATACTGAGGAGAACAACATTAGACTAATTTTTCAAATCCTTCCCCTTATCAACAGAGCTTAACTTTTGACGAGTAAAATATGTTACTCATACTTCTAGTAGTTCATCAGAATATGATTACTCTCGCCTGTCATCAGAGGTCATTGTTAAATTTTGATGAAGTTCGTATTCCTCAATCTTAACTTTTTAGGTAATGTTTTTTGGACTATTATATGTTATTTCATCTTTTTTGCCGAGATAATGCCTGTCCATCTTCTAATTGTTTGTGTTTTTTTTTGTCGACCCTTGACTTCTTATAACTTCAATTGTTTTTATGAAAATCGCTTTGTATTTGACTCATAAGTAAAATCGTAAAATTGTACACGTCAGACGAGCTTCATGTATTTTTATATTAGTTTAAGTTTTTGTCTGTTTATAACGACACCTAGGACCAATGTGATTTCTAAAGTTTTTTTTAGTAATCCAAGGTTTACAAGAAAGAAACATAACATTTCCGAAGTATGAAAATACATTACTTTTATTTAACTCTCATTTAGTCATTTAGTTTTATCTTCAATAAATGATAAACTGCGTTTCAATTTTCTACGGATACAATTTATCTATTTAACGAAAAAACTACTTTCCGCTCTAAAAAATATCCGTTGAATAACATTAGAGTTTCCGTCGACCATACAATAAACCATATTAATGAAATATCGGCCAGCAAACGTGATATCTGTTGAGGACAGTATGTTTTTAAGCTATACAGTACATGAATATTTCTATTTCCATTGCCGTTTCTGCTGTTCTTATCTATGAATTTTCATCAGCAATAGAGGCAAAACAGATTTTCAAAAGCCCAAAAATGATAAGATGTTCATTCATTCATATGAAAGATTTTGTTAGCGGAATATCCAACGCAGCTTAATATTATATTCGTTTATGCATACTGTTGAATTAGGTTCTTACCTCTTACCCACATATGGGCTTGGTGATAACATATTTGAGAATTAAATCAATTTTTTTTATCTTAAATCTTTTTTTAACTCGTGCGTAAATGTTTTGATATGATTTTAATATCATCTTTATTATGTTTGATAGCGATTTCAGAACTATGTTCTGCTATCGTAGTAGAGTAAGGTTTTGGTGCTGTTAAATAAATAATATGAATTATTTCACAAAGTCAGAAATGTGACGGCTTTTTCCAAATCATCATGAATGATGTAAATGGCAGTCTTACTCTCTGATACTATCAGTGTGAGGATTGTGTTCTCTTTCTTCAGAAAGAAATAAAGCCTATATATAGTCGCTTAAATTTGACAAGAAATGTGGTTAGTGTGAAAATAAAAGGGTCAATTGCATTTGAACAAGAAAATTTGAATTTCTTCAATATATTCTTGTTTTTATTTGTGTTTACATTCCGCATGAAAAAAAGGATTCGAAGAAGTAAATGATAAACTATTATTTGAAAAGAAGGAAAGACCACATTTACGTCTTACTTGAAAATGACAAACAGAAAAAAAATAGAAAACCTTAGAATGGAACAAAACCAGTCATACTTAAACCAGGAATAATCTACTTTTTAAATTTATTTACCTGTGTACGTTATTTTATTTGGCGGCATTTTGTCCAATGTTATGGTTGTCTTTCTGATATTGTTTTACATCTAACCCCCTTGTTTTGTTAATTTTGTATTTGCATTATGTCATAGATCAAATTTATTCATTCAGTGTATGTTCACTTGTTTTTGTTAATATGTCTTTTGATGAAGTTAAGCCATTTCAATTGATATTTTATAGTGTGTCTTTCTATGTTGTGATGTTACACTATTATTTCAGGTAGGGTGAAGATCGGCGCTTATTGAAAAGTTTAAACCCGCTGCATTTGTTTGCGCCTGTCCTAAGTCAGGAACCTGATGTTCAGTGGTTGTCGTTTGTTGTAGTGGTTCATGAGTGTTTCTCGTCTCTCGTTTTTTATATAGATAAGACCGTTGGTTTTCCTGTTTGAATGGTTTTACACTAGTCATTTTGGGGCCCTTTATAGCTTGCTGTTCGGTGTGACCCAAGGCTCCGTGTTGAAGACCGTACTTTGACCTATTATGGTTTACTTTTACAAATTGTTTCTTGGATGGAGAGTTTTCTCATTGACACACATACCACATCTTCTTATATCTATTATACTTATTATTGCTATTTGTCTGTAAAATTGCAAATGTTAATGTTACGTCACCAATCTTGTATTGATATATCTATGATAATCAACAATTTCTCTTATGTATCTATCCTTCTTCTGCAACATTATCTTTTTGCTTGTTTGTGATTTAGTTTAAACTCATTTTATTTCATTACATTTCATTTAGTATACGTATATAGAATACATCAATTATATTATCTAAAAGGATTTGGCAACAAGCTGTGAAAGCTTTTACAAACCATCTCCAGCTTTATCGTGATATATCCATCGAATGTTGCAAAGCAGGGTTCTTTTGCTTTGATTTTCTACAACTGGATAGATACCACAACTGGTTGACTGTTTAGTCCCCGAGTGTATATTTTTTTAGTATTGACAATTACGTAAAATTTCATGAATTCAGCAAACGAAGATAGTCTTAAATTTTTAAGCATACGAATATTCCTAAATATAATGACGGATGTAAAAATTAGCTTTACTACATTCTTGATATTTTCTCTCGTTACGAAGAATAATTGTATAACCAACCCCGGCTACCATAACATGTATAAGCTGCTTAAGTTCCGATAATTATGGAATACGTTAAAAGCAATAAATTATATATGTACATGACGGAAACAAAACTTAGGAGAAACCTATCATACAGGTCTTAAAGAATTTTCTTCCTTTAAACATTGTGTGATCAATTATCGGGTTATATACTTTTTTTTTTAATTTACTACACTACGTTGACTTTGATCATATTTAATATGTAACAGGTTAATATATATTAAAGCAAAACTAGGATTTACATCAATCAAACCAAACAACACCATAGACACCCCCTTCCCAATAAAGAATATGAAAACAATCAGTTGACAACAACAAACAGTAAGACCCAATTCCTCATGAGCAAGATACATATGAGAGCAACCAGCGCTCAATCCTCCCACTAATTTCGACAGTGTTTTAAAATAAACAAAATCCACCAATGCCCTTGTATACGTTTATGTTTAGTTATTTATCAAATATGTTTCTGAACAGCGGAAAAATAAAATGTTGCTGAACGACTAAATTATATCCGGATAAGTAAACATGCACTGTATTTGTCTTTATAATTTTATGTCCCTTTTGGTCGCATGACTCTTGCCGTGGCTCGTTATATATGTATCCAGCTTTCTGGGTTTGGGTGTTCCTGGTACGGGTAGGTCCAGAGGAGAGCGTCAGGGAAACCGTGTATAAATAGCAACAAAGTTGATATCCTTGTTGTGTAACACCACCCGATTTGGATACATCTTACAAAGTCTATCCAAAACATTTTGCAAAGAATTCCACTCAAACCGGTGGTAGCGGCCGTCTTAAACTTGCAGTGAGGGGATATTTTGTTTTCATTTTTTTATTCCATGTTGAAGGCCTCACTGTGACTT